CTATCATAAAATCTCCTTGTTTATCATTCAAATGGAAATTAATTTCATTCATTAAAAATTTAAATACAAATGCTCGTTCTGGTTGTATTTTAGTAGTTTCAACAACTTCAGCAAAGCCACTTTCAGTAATAAGATATTTATTTTCAACAGAGAAGAATTTAATTAATTTTAATAATGTTTCTTGAGTTAATCGAATATGAGAAGAATGACCAAATGAAAGTGTTATTATTTTTTCTTTTTCAGCAGTTTCAAATGAAAAATTCATAAAATTATCAATCTTTTTTTGTCCTTCAACCCAGAAAAGTAGTTCATCTTTATTTAAATGATCAATAAAACTACCACTTTTAATTTCTACAGTATGTAATGAACAATCATGAGGTAAACTTAAATATTTATATTTTAATTCATCAAATTTCATAATTCCAATTTGTTCTTCTTCATTGACATTAACTTCTACACTACCAATATCAGCTGTAAAAATACGACTTCTAATATCTGATAATTCTTGTTGATTTGGAGATACTACAGGATGATATTTGATTAAGTCTTGATGTTTACTTAATTCTCCTAAATTAATCATAATTAACCCAACAATCTCTCTATACCTTTCTTTAGTTAAATTAATATATCCAGAAGGAATTGATAATGAAATATCCCATGCAGGAAAATCAACAGCAACATTCTTTTCATCTGGAAAAGTAAAATTAAAAGTAACTTCTTTTGCTGAAACATTTTCATCAAAATAAATATCATATAAAGTAAGACTTTTAGTTGATTGTTGATTTTGAATCCATGTACTTCTTACTTGTAATTGTTTTGCTATTAATTTTATACCATCTTCAATATATGAAGCAACTGGAATACATAATGAAACATTTGTAATATCTGTCTCTAACTTCAGTCGATCATATGAATGAGATGGTTCATTTGAAGGAAATACCCTTACACTACAAATATGAAGAAAGTCTTGAAGCCAACTATATAATTGTTGAATAAAAATATTTAAATATGTACAAGTCATTTGATCAGTTTTAATAGATAAATAATGTCTATAGTCTTGTTGAATTGCTTTTTGAGTAATGGCATGAGTATATAAAATGTCAATTGGAGTATCTACTGTTTGAATAACCATTGAATGAATTTTACCTGAGATAGTTTCATCTTTAGCAAAAACTCTTTTTAATGACCCTTTAACAGTTATGTCAACTTCAGGATTATTGTTATCTATTAATATATCAAATGATCCACCAACAGCACTTCCTGATGCTAACAAACTTCCATGGTTTCTAACTACTAATCCAATTGAAGTAAAAACAAAAGAAACTTGTACTACTTTACTTTGAGTTTTCTTTTGAGGAATACTAACAACAGTTTGTTGTTCATGATCATTATATAAGAAATGAAGAATATGGTCAAGATGAGGAAGATCAAAATAAATCATTGATTGTGCAGCAAATAATGTTATTGTTATTGGTTTATCACTTTCATTTGTCATATGAAGGCTAACAAGTGATTCATTTGTCTGTTTTTTACTGAAAAATGTCATATTGTCATTGTCAATAACAATAACATCTCCAAAACTTATATCAGCACTTGACTTTTTATCTTTTATAATAGAAGTCATTGTTAATTGTTTAGCTGAAACATTAAAAATTGGTTCATTCTCTGTTAAAGAAATAAATGCAGTAGCTTCAGGAATTGAAACAGTTAATTTTAATTTAATAAAATCTTCAGGGATTTGTATAACAGCATCATCTCCAATATCAGTTAAATCATCTTCTTGTTGTAATAAATCTCTAATAGCTTCATGCTCTGTTTTTGGTTTTGGTTTTTGATTTTTAAACATTAACCGAATAGCTCTCATTTGTTCAGAAGAAATATGAAGTTTTGTTGTATCAAGTAAACAATCAACAATAATTCCAGGACTAAATTCATTTAATTTTTCTTTCATTTCTTTCCATGACAATAAAGCTTTTTGTATATCAAATGACATTTGAGTTTTCTCAAGAAGAATTTCTGATTTAGAATCAGTAATCATTTTGCAATTAATTTCATTAATTGTTAATTTATATGAATCATATATTCCATTTCTTTCATTTGTTAACATTTTAACAATTCCTAAATCAATATGAAGTTCATTATTATCAGAATGAATAATAATATAAGGTGCATGAATCATTGCTGATATAACAACCCGAATATGTTCATCTAATATACTTTTTAAATTCATAGAAGGTAATTTAACACCAATTTGACCATATGATTCAACAACATCTAATGATCTAAATACATTCATTAATTCTTCAGCCATATTTTTATTATAAACAATATTTGTAGGTTCTAAATGAACATCTAATGAAAAATCACTATCAATTTTTTCTTCTTCTTTTTCACTTGTTAATTTAATATGTAATAAATTTTTTTCATTGTTTATAGCTGAAAATATATATGGGTATTTATTATCTTTATTACTCTTAACTTTAGCATCATTAAGATCAATATTAGCAGTAAATCCAATAGTTTTCTTAACAACAGAACAATTCAATGAACTAATTTCTACTTCTACAAATGCCTCATTTAAATCACTTCCAAATAAATCAATAATAAATTGTTTTGTTTCAAATGAAAAATCAACTTGTTTTAATTTTTTTGTGTCAGTTACTTTTTCTTCTTTATTATCATCTCCAAGAAATGAATGAATATCTTCTGTTAATTGTGAATTGACAACATTAGAATATCCCATCCAACTCCATATTCCACTACTATTACTTTTTGCTTCATCAACTTCAGATTTCGCAAAGTTTCTTAAATAAATTATCTCTTTTACACTAAGCTCTTCTTCTAATTCATTAAATCGTTCTTTATCACCACTAACTGTAGTTTCACTAAGTACTCTAGTATATATATCTGTATATTCCTGACGTAATGCTCTTCTTTTTCTTTTATATTCATTACTTTCTTTATAATTTTTTTTCTTAACTTCAATTAATAAACTATCAAATGCAAATTTCCACCATTTCTTTGGTACCTGTTCAACTCCCTCTTCTGGTTTTTTAACATTCCTTCCAACTTGAGAACATTTTCCTTCAAATAATTTTTGTTGTTGCATTAAACTTTTCACATCAATCATTACTCCTTGTGATATTCCAACCTTTAACATTTCTAAAATAATTTGACTTGTAACTGGATATGAATCATCTTTATCTGATAAAATCAACCTCATTTTTGTTGTAAGATCATCTACAATATATTCTTTTTTTACGTTTGTATTCCATTTATCTTCTTTTGTTTGTGAATGATAAATTCTCATTTTAATAATCTCAGCAATCTTAAAATGATCTCCTTGATTCTCCACTACAAAAGCTGGATTCCACTGACTATCCGTAGAATATAATTTAATTGAATCAATAACTGAACCAATAGCATATTTTGTATTAATCCATCCATTAACCCCCTCATATCTAATATGAATATTTGTAATATCAATTTGCATATTATTGATAACTTTTGTTATTATTCTTTGTGTTAAAGTTGTTTTATCAGAAGTAATTTCATAATTTCTTAATTGTCGTTGTTTAGACTCTTGCTCTTCTTTTTTTAATTGCTCAGAAATAACAGATGGATCTACATCATAATCGGTGGTACAAACTAACTCAATGTCATTAATTTCAACTACAACAGGTTGTGAGTCTAGTTTATTCCAAGGAAAACGTAAAGACATTTTGCCAATTCTTCCAGATATAACTTTTAATGGAACTCCAACTAAAAATCCATCAAATGCACTTTCATTAATTATAAGATTTTCTAACGTAACGTCACCATTCCATAATGAAATACGAAGATTTTCTGCATTAAGTCCACTTATATATTTACCAAAATATCGAGTAAGTACTTCAGATACGATATTCTCAAACATATAACAATGTTTTTGTATTTTAAAGTTCTTTATACTATTTGAAGAAAAAAAAACAAAAAAAAAATATTATTCCAAAGGAAAATGTTCAAAATATATAATCATCAAAAAAGAAATAACCCTTTCAATCTTATAATCATTTACTCACTTTTGTTTATATGAATCTCTTAAAATCTCTTGACGTTTTTCTTACTACTTACCATAACTATTTTCCTATTGCCCGTTCTATTACTCGTACTTTATTATTAATTTTACCAAAATCAACACAAATCCCTGAACATTTAATTTCAACTATTCTTGAATTACTCGAAATCCATCATGTTATTATTTCTTCTCCACCCACTTTTCCTTTACGTTCATTAGCATTAACAAGTGCAATGACTATAATTTCTCCTTATGTAGAATCATTATTTATTAATACTAAAATGAAATATTTATTCTTATTTCCTATTCAATCCTTACGAGTATATTATTCTATTCAATACTTTCTTAAAAGTGGTTTTTCTCTTATTCCTTCAACAAACACAATGAAATTACCATTAACAAGTAAACAGTCAATTTCTACTCTTTTAACCTTACAAAGTAAAACTCTTAGAATTATTTCAGAATTAATACATTCATTCAAACCTATCTTTGTTTTAATAAGTTTCAGTGTATTTGGAGATAACAGTTATGTTCCACTTTTTATTTCATTTACTTTGTCATGTGCAGAGTTTGTTTGTTTATACAAAAACTCATCAACATTTTCTTCATCAGAACTATCTATTTATCGTCAACGACTAACACGTATATGGGTCTTTTTTATATTTCCTGTGGTAGTGAATGCTTATCGGTGTAATCCAACAATACAACATTTATTAAAAACAAAAATACCAGGAATACATTATATATTAAGTTTGTTGTTTTTATTAAATTAAAAAGAAAAGAATTAATGGAATAGATATTATCAGCCAGAGTCTTATTGATTCAAATATCTCAACATTGTTGTAATTAAAACGTTTTGTATTGTTAAAACTATATTTTAATAATAAAAATATAATAAATTATAGAAAGTAAAAAATAAAAACTTAAAAAAAGATTTAAAAGAATGACAAAAGAAGAAATTAAATATATTCTTGGGATTGAAGGAAGTGCTAACAAACTTGGTGTAGGAATTGTTACTTCAAATGGAGAAGTATTAAGTAATTTAAGAGATAGTTATTATGCTCCTTCAGGACAAGGATTTCTCCCAAGACAATTAGCTGAACATCACCGAAATAATATTTTAAGATTAGTTAAAGAGGCATTAGAAAAAGCAAAGCTAACACCACAACAAATTTCATTAATTGCTTACACTAAAGGACCAGGAATTGCTGCACCTTTAATGGTATGTGCTGTTGTAGCAAGAACACTTTCAATCATATGGAATATTCCTTTAATAGGAGTGAATCATTGTGTTGCCCATATAGAAATGGGTATGTTAGCAACAGGAGCAAAACATCCAGTTTGTTTATATGTTTCAGGAAGTAATACACAAGTAATTGCATTTTCATTAGGTAAATATAGAATATTTGGAGAAACAATAGATATTGCTGTTGGTAATTGTTTAGATCGATTTGCACGAGAAGTTATGTTACCAAATGAACCAGCTCCTGGTTATAATATTGAACAAATGGCAAAAAAAGGAAAGAAATATATAAAATTACCTTATGTTGTTAAAGGAATGGATATTTCATTAACTGGATTATTAACTTCAATTGAAACATATATCAATAAACATGAAAGTGTTGAAGATCTTTGTTATTCTCTTCAAGAAACATTATTTGCTATGTTAGTTGAAGTAACTGAAAGAGCAATGAGTCAATGTAGTGCTAGTGAAGTTCTTGTTGTAGGAGGAGTTGGATGTAATGTTAGATTACAAAATATGCTTAAAACAATGGCAAATGAAAGAGGAGCAACGTTAGGAGCAATGGATGAAAGGTACTGTATTGACAATGGAGCCATGATTGCATGGACAGGATATCTAATGTCTAAGAGTGGTCAGTTTACGCCTATAGAAGATGCAACAGTACATCAAAGATTTAGAACAGATGAAGTTGATGTTACATGGAGATAATTTAAAATAAAACTCTTAAAATAATTTATTTAAAATAATAATAGAAAATGAGAAAATAATAAAAAAACCACCAAAAATTAAATGAAGATTATTTATTATCAACACCAAGACCCGACACAACACTTGATCTAAGGACAGCCTCATTATCTTTAAGGTATTTGCAAATTTCATGAGCTCCTTTAATAACAACTTCTTTTGGTGGAACAACAAGAGGATTATTAGTTAATTCAATAGTTTGTAAAATACCATCAAGTTGACCCATTTCAACAGGTAAAACAGGAATCATATTTTGAGTTAATTCAAGTCTATTTAATTGTCTTAAATCACCAATTGAAGCAGGGAGTGATTTTAATTGATTGTTTCTAGCATCAAGATAAGTAACAGAAATTAATCTACCAAGAGATTCTGGTAATCTATTAAGTCTATTACCAGCAACAGTAAGATTTTGAACATTGGTAAGATTAGAAAATGTTTCTGGGAGTTCAACCATTAAATTATTAGAAACATCAAGGTCAACAATAGATGTTAAATCACAAAGACATTGTGGATAACTATGAATTTGGTTATTACTAATGGATAATTTACTAATATTAGTTAATGTTGAAATACCTTCTGGGAATGATGATTCATTAAGAGAATTATGAGCTAATTCAAGAATATTTAAGTTAGTCAAAGAAGTAATATTTGGAGGTAATACAGTAATGTTACATCCAACGAAATCAAGTCTTTGTAATGAAACAATATTGAAAATTTCTTCAGGCATTCCTTTCATTTTTATATTATCACGTACATTTAATTCACATAACATTTTCAAAGAAGAAAGTCCAGGAATATTAGTAATTGGAAGATTCTTAACAACAAGACGAGTAAGATTTTGAAGAGAATCTAATGGTGGAAGTTCAAGAATACCTTGATTATTTTGACAATCTAATTCTACTAAGAACTTAAAGTTAGTTAAAACATCAATATTTCCAGATAATTTATTAAATCCAATTCTAAGAATTTTAAGAGCAATCATATTTGATAATTCTTCTGGTAAAAGATCCATTTGATTATTAGAAAGATCAAGTTCATATAATGAACGAAGATTTCCAATTTCAGTTGGTAATTTTCTAATAGAATTCTTATTAACAAGAAGGGTTTGAAGTTTATCTAACATACCAATTTCTGGTGGAAGTGATTTTAAATTATTTTCAGAAATATTAAGATATTGAAGAGAGAGTAATGAACCAATTTCTGGTGGAATAGATTCCAATTTATTCATTGAAATATCAAGTCTTTGTAAATTAGAGCACATCTTAATTTCAGATGAAATACCATCATAAAATAAATTGTTTTGTCCAAGATATAATTCTCTTAAATTAGAGGCTTTTTGAATAGAATCAGGAATAGAAGTAATACGGTTATTAGATAACGTTAATACTTCTAATTTTGGCATTAGACAAACATCTTCTGGAATTGATGTAAAATCATTTTGAGATGCATTAAAATTAGTACAAACACATTTAGAAATTTGTTTAGGAAATTCTGATAAATTTTTACCAGAAATTTCAATGGATGATTGGGCTAATAATTTTTTATCGAATTTAGCTCCTTTTGATCCTTTAGCTCCCATTTCTTATTAATTGTTATTTTTTAGTTTTTTTTTTGTTCCTCTTTTTTTTTTGTTTTATTTCTTTTTTATTATAATTTATTATATTTTTATTATATTTTTATTATTCTTTTATTTTTTTTTTCTATTTTTGTTCCTTCTTTTACTTCTTTTTTGTATTTTTTATTTTTGATAAAAAATGGTATAAAAATTATTGATAACTCTATGTTTTATTGATTATGTTAGTATAAAATAAAAAAAATTGAATAAAGTAAAAAAAAATTAACTAATTCGTTAGTTGTTATTTTTTTTTATCTTTTATCTTTCTTTCAAATAATCTTAAACAATTATTCTTTATATTTAAAAAAACTAAATATTCATTTACCTTTTTAATTTCTAGATTTTATAATAAAATGCAACAGATAAGAATTATTCTTGATATTGGTCGACCAGGAGAAGAAAGACCAACATTAGATATTAAAGCTACATCAATACAAGATGCAATTGATCAATCAGTTCAACATTTTTGTGTTGAAGGAGTTTTTATATTAACCGATATGGAAGGAATACCATTAAATCAATTAACATTTCCAAAAATTAAAACAGCTATAATGACAATGTCACCGGCATTTGTTGCACGACAGTCTATTTTAAAAATAAAAAAAGCAACGAATGAAGTAGAAAAAGAAAAAGCAATAAATGAAATTGTAAAAGAATTACAAAACCAAACTTATGCAAGAGAATTTTTTAAAACAACATTATTTCCACCACCATTTAATAAACAAAATATTAAAATTATTAAAGTATCAATGAGATATAAAGATGCTATTAAATTAATGTTAAATGATAAATATATTCAAGAATTATATAATATTATGTGTACAAATGAAGATTTAGAAATTAGATTACAAGCAGCAGAAGTATTAAATGTTTTATGTATGTCAGGAGGAGAAATATTTATTATTTATGCAGCAAAAGTATTTGCAGCAAAAAGAGATGAATATAAATATAGATCATTATTACCAATGATTGGAAATACAAAAATTGGAGCAACAGTAGTTGCATTATTATTAGGAATTTTAAAATGTTCACCAGAAGGAAGAAAAAGTAAAATTGTTATGGATTTTAAATATGTTGGAATAACTGAAGCAGTAAAAAAATTAAAGTCATATAAATTATTAGTAACAAATTTTGAAAAAGCTTTAAAAGATGATTGTCAAATAATAAATTATGATCAAAGAAGTAAAAGAGAATGGAAAAGAGTTGAAGAAATTAGACAAAATTCTATTCAATTAGAAAATAGAATTAAAACACTTTATTTAGATAAAGAACGAGCATTAAAAAGTAAAGAAGAATTATCAATAATATTAGAACAAAAAAAACAAGAAATAATAAAATGTAATGAAGATATAAAATTTTTAAAAGAACATACAGAAGTTAGAAATAATATTTCTATTACAATTAGAAAATTAACTAGAATAGAACTTATTGAAGAAATTGCAAAAACTAATAGAGATATTGAATTATTTACAAAAGAAAAAGAACGATTATTAAATGAAATTGAAGACGTTCCAAAAGAAAAGAAAAAAGTTATTATAAATAATTTCATAGAACAAAATGATAAAGAAAAAATAAAATCAATTCCCCGTGGGAATTTTATAAGTAAAAGAATTACAACACAAAATTTTTCTCATTCAAAAATTAATTGTCTTAATGAAAATATATTTAATCAACCTAAAATTGAATTATCTGTTTATTTACCTGAATTAAAATGGAATAGAATTATTTTAAAACCAGACCATCCAAAATGTTTATGGGACTGTCTTCCTGAAAAAAAATTAAATATTTGTGATGTAGAAAATTCATTTAAAATAGAAGAACAAAATTCAACAAATCCAGTTATTTCAAGATATAAATATATTGATTTATGTGTATTAAGAAATAAATTTCCTTCAAGTGTTTCATTAGGAATTGATATTAATAATTTTTATTATCGTCAAATAACTGAACGTGATGGTAAATTTTTAATTGATACTCTTAAAGGAATTCATCTTAATGAATTAGATTATTCTGATGGTGGTAAAGGAATTGAAGGATGGTTAAAACCTTTATTAGAAATACCTGCCTTTCAAATTAAATTAAAAATGTGGGTTGAATCAATGTTAATTGAAAATGAAATTAATAGAATTACTCCATTAATTCAAAATTGTTTTAAAGCTATTGAAGTTGTAAAAAGTTCAAGAAGTTTTAAAGAATTAATAAACATTATTTTAGTAACAGGAAATTATTTAAATTCTGATTATCCTTCAATTAGATGTGCAGATGGATTTCAAATAGATCTTTTAATAAAATTAAGAGAAACACGTCTTCCACAAAAACAAGTTAGTATGTTAGATTTTGTTATTAAAATTCATTCTAATCCAGAACAACTTATTGAAGAATTATCTATTTCTTCATTCGCTAAAATTGATTTAACTAAATTAATTAATGATATTAAAGAACTTATTGTAAAATGCTCTTCTTTAAAACAAATTATTCAAACTCAAATTATTTCTCTTCCTTCTAAACAACAAAGTCATATTACTGAAGAAGTTAATACTTTAATGTCTCGTGTTATTTATTTAAGAGATTTTATTATTAAAACAGCTAAAAAATTTTATCAAATGATGTATTGGATTATTGGTATTCCTGCTGTTGCTGTTGAATATAATCCAATCACCTTTTTTGGTATTCTTGAACAATTCACTCAACAACTTAAAGAATCTCTTGAAGATAAAACGGAATTAAAACCATCTGTTACATTAATTAATAGAGCTTTTACAGAAATGACAAGAAGAGAAAAACACATTTATTTTGGTAGTCAAGATGATTTACTTGCAAAAGTTATTTGTTGTCTAAAGAAAGGAAAAATTAAAGCTTCTATTTTACGTAAAATATTAAATTAATTCAATTCTACCTTATTTACTTTTTGTTTAAAATCCCTTCTTACATAGTAATAACTACAATAAGAGCATGAATTACACCTGGAACCCAACAAAGAATTGTTAATATAATATTAATCCAAAAATGAAGTCCACAAGTTACTTTAAAGAAAACTGCTAATGGTGGAAGGAAGAATGAAAGAATACAAAGTAAAAGACATCCAAGAGTAATATCTCCCATGTTGTTTTTAATGTTTGTTTTTTTCGTTTCAGTTTCTTGTTTATATATTATACCTTCTCTATTTTTAGGATCTTTTCAAAAACTCTTTTTTCTCTCGGAATGTTCCTGACATTGAAATTTCATTATTTTATCTTAATGAAAAGACATGTATTTTTCAAGAATAATTCTTCAGAAAGAATATTCAACTCAGATTTTTTCTCATGACACTAATTATTTTCTTGATAATATCATTGTCTTTTTCTCTTTGTACAAATGTGAAAAAAGGGTTTTATTGTTTGGATAGATCAAAATTTGTTTGGTGCTCAGGTACTAATCAGAGTATGGCAATCACTTGTTTTAAGGAGACTGTATGTAAGTGTGGAAAAACAAAGTATAATCCATGTGTCTTCAGTTTCCAAGAATTAGATGATTGTGAAGGACTTCCTGGAGATATAATCAATGAGCCATCAAAATTTTATGAAAATTATAAATAATACAAAATAACATGAAACATTTTAAAAGAAAATTAATTCAAAATAAATGTTTTTTAATAATTAAATTTTACAAGAAATACGATAGAGAACTTAAAATTTTACAAAAAAGTTTATTACTAAGTTATGTCAAATTCAGGAGAAACAATTCTTCTTTCTATTAAACAATGTATGCTGTTTAAAATAATTGGAAAAGATGGTCAAGTAAAGAAAAAGTTTGAAACTTTTTCTAATAAACCTTTTTTATTAAAATAAAACTTATCAATTAGTGCTGCAGATTGGCAACAATCAGATTTTTTATGGAGTGGAAGGTGTTTAGTTACTAGATCACCTGAACATTGTATTATTAAATTTGTTGAAAATAATGATATTGAATTTTGTTCTTGTATTATTTCAGATGATTCTGTTCAAAATGTTAATGATAGTAGTAGATATTTTATATTAAAAGTTAATGAAATAAATGGTGGGAGAAAGGCAACTGTTGGTCTTGGATTTGTTGATAGGTCAAATGCATTTGATTTTAGTGCAGTTCTTCAAGACATTGAAAGAAAAATGAATAAAAAAGATTCTACTCAAATTGATTCAGTTCAAACTGAAAATTATATATTAAATGATGGTGAGATGATATCTCTCCCTTTTGATGATTTAACACCTGTAACTGATACGATGAATAACTTACAACCTTTTGATGAAGCAAAAGTTCGTTCTGTCACTTTCAATTCAAGTCAAGCCCAGCCAATTGACGTTGAAGAAGAAAAAGAAGAAACAGTTATTGTATTAAACGAAGTACAACCTCAAAGTAATCAACCACCTTCTATTGACTTCTCTAACTTTGGTCAACCAACACAAGCAACTCATCAAAATTTAGAAATTAATTCAACCACAAATTCTAAAAATACTGTTGATATCTTTGCTAATTTTAATCAACAAACAGTTACCACTTCTCAAACAGATACTATCAACTTTGATTTATTTTCATCTCCTTCAACACAAAATAAATCATCAACTCAGAATGCTTTGGATATTCTTCTTTTTAATTAATTAGTTTATTTTACTATTAAAATATTGTTTAGTTTATAAAAAATGTTTTGTAATTTTTAATTTTTGTATTTTTAATTTTATTTTTTAATAGAACTTAAAAAATGGAATTAAAAAAAAAACCTGAAATAATAGGATAATTAGAAGGAATTTATTGAGATGTTGGTTTGTAAGAAACTAAAAACTTAAAAATAAAGAAGAAAGAAGAAAGATGAGTAACTTATTGATAAGTATTTGTTTATGTGGAGATCCATTTGTTGGAAAAACATGTTTTTTCCAACGATTTTCAAATGGTGAATTTAATGCTAATACAAAGACATCTATTGGAAGTGATGTAACATGTAAAAAACTTCAACTTGATGGTAAAACGTACAACGTTCAATTATGGGATACTGCTGGACAAGAAATATTCCGATCAACTACAACAACTTATTTTAGAAATAGACATTGCATTTTATTTACTTATGATATCACTAAAAGGGAAACACTTGAACATGTTGAAGACTGGATGAAAGAATTCTGCCAAGTACAACCAGATACTTCTAAAACATTGACTATTCTTATTGGCTGTAAAAATGATTTAGAAGAACAACGTCAAATCACTTTTGAAGAAGGTGAACGATTTGCAAGTACTCATCAAATCCCCTTCTTCGAATGTTCAGCTAAAACAAATAATAATATTCAAGAAATTATAGAATTTGTTGTTAGAGAATTACGTGTGAGAAATATGCTTGTTGATATGAATCCTCTTACTAATGAAGAAAATAAAGAACCAGAAAATTCAGTTATTGTTTTAGAAAAGAAAGATATTTCTAATGAACCATCTGAACAAGTTACTGGTTGTTGTTAAGTTAATCACATTTCGACTCTGAAAAAAAAAACAAACAACATTAAAAATCATAACTTGAATCTTCTTTAAACAAGATCAATTATTTTTAATGGCTCATATTCTCCTGTTTCTGTTTTATTAATTTTTTTTTTATTTCTCTATTTTAACAAATAGTAATATAATAAAATATTTATACCAAACCATTCCTCAATACGAAATAAAAAAGTTGACCAACTTCTACTCCAACTCCAAGTTGTGTATCATCACTCATAATTGTTTTATTATCTTTACTTAAAATACCAATAATGTCTGGGTTACATCCAGCAACCATAGCTAGTCGTTGTTTAACAATTCCAATAGTGTCTGAAGGAACAACAACTATAAAGTATGTTTGTTTTGCTCGTCTTAATTTAATGTAATATGACTAAACTATGATTAATTTTTATATTAATTTTTTGTAATGAGACATCACAATTAACAAACCATATACAAATGATTATTAAGATTTTATGGATTGTTTTTTTATGAATAACAATCACTAAACTCTCTAATTTATTGTCTTTTCTTCTCACTAAAATCTATATCATTATTTTTAATTATGTTTTTGTTCTTTGAAAAAAAAAATAATAAAAGATCTCATAATTGTCAAACAGGAAAATGGTAGAGGAGATTCATCATCACACATTTAAAGTAGTAGAACAACCAACAAACCCTGTTATTTCTTTGTTATTTTCAATTTTTGTTATTAGTGCATTTGTATTCTTATTAATTTCCTTAATAAGAACAATTCAATTTAAAAAACTCCATTTTGGATTCTTTGGGTTTTTATTTATTATTGTATTATCTGCAACATTCGTATTTATTGCGTATTTTTGGTTCTTCTTAACACTACTTGAGGCGGTAGGTCTCTTCCTTTTGATCGCACCAGTAACTTGTCTTTTCGCATTTTGTGCTGCGAAGGCTTCTCTTTAATTGATCATTCCTTAAAAATTATCGTTATATATATCAAATAATAAGATGAAATGTTCAAGAACAAACCCTCATTCTTTCATCTATTGAAAGTTATTTACTAGACAAAACAAATAACTTGAAAGTATTATGTTATTATCATTTGATAATTCTTGTATGAATAAATTTATAAATCATTCAAAATTGAAATACACCATTTGGAAATAACGATTTTAGATACATTACATTATTTTAAATATTTTATAAATTGTCACAAACAATATCACTCAAAAATAATATAGCCAAACTTATGTGTTATTGAATAAATGTAATTTCATCAATGTAATGAACTAAATTATTTTATTCTTAAGTTTTTTCTTAATTAAGTATAATTAAGTTGTTTGTAACAGATAAAATACAATAAGAATTACAAAAGTAAATAATTCTCATAAACATACTTCTTTTTTACTTTATCATTTTTTTGCCATCTTATTCTTTAATTTAAGTTGATATTGATATAATCAATTTTCAAATATAATCGTTACATTTCTTAATTTTATTTATTGTTTTTTTTTCTTCTTCTTTCAGTATAATAAATAATTTATTTTATTTTTATTCTTTTAAAATTGATGCTTCTATTTTTTTATTGTATTTTCTAATATGATAGATAATTCTTTTTATCTTATTGGTTTTCAATTATAGATAAGATGTGTTTCTATTTAAGCTTTATCAATTTATTTTATTATTTTTTAAAACACTACTAGAAGATGCTTAGCACTTTTTAATATCATTACTAACTTAATAATACATTTTTTTTCAATTAAAAATGACACAGTTGTATTTTTGTTCTTATAGTTTATGAACTTCTTATTCAATGAGTTAACTTGATTTATTTTTTCCAAATGTCTTTATTTAACGTCATTTGTATTTCATATAACGTTTGAAATGAATTATTGTGTCATTGTTATTTTGATATATTTCATTTTGTAAGTATTTCTTCTCCATTTCTTATAAGAATGATAAAATAAACATAAATAAATAATAACAATAAATATTAATAATACATCCAGAACAACGAATGAAGAAGATAATCAAATTATTGATTCTTCTTTTTAATAAACTTTTTTATATTACTACTATTTAATATATTAATTATAATCAAAATGATATTGATAATATATTTCAATATAAAACAATTAGTCATAATTAAACAAATAAAATAAAAAGTAATTAATTAAGTATTAATAGATTTTTCATCTATTCTTCCTAGTTTAGGAGAGACTAATCCCTTTGCTGTTTAAAAAAGAGTAATCTCTTTGTTGAATTTATCATTTAGGTTTATCTTGGAATTTGAAGAAAGCACTTCTTTGCTTTATTTTTCCCTATTAAGGTTTTTCAAACTTCTTCTGCTTAATTCTTCTTTTTAACCTTTTGTTTATTTTCTGTCTTAATTTTAAACATTTTCTTTTTCCTTATTTTATGAATGGGAGAAGGAATCATTTTATTACTACTTTATTACTTTGACTAATCTTCTTTTAGTCTTACCCACACTTTAGTGGTTTCTTCACTGATTTGTTTTTATTCTTTTTATTTCATTTTCAATTAACCAAGATTGAATCATTTCATTTCAATTACTATGATTCGTTTTGGTGTGAAATCTTGTTTTCCACAAAGTGCATTTGATATTCCTTTATATTCAAAGCAATTTTGATAACAAGATGATTCTGTTTTATTATTTTCTTTATAAACAAAAATATCATCTAATCCAAATTCAAACAAATAATCATCTGATTGATTATACAAATAAAATGCATATCGTGGTTGTTTAATATCAAATTTCATCATTCCTTCAATTCTTCCATTTGATTCTAATGAAAATACAAATGATTTTGAATCATTTATACAACTTTCAACTTCATCAATTTTAGAATTAACATATCCTCCAAATTTATTTCCATCTTCATCTTCAATAATAATTATTATATGTTCTTTATTCATTATTCTTTGATCAAATACTGATGTATTTTTATTCCAATTATCTTTATCTGAATCAAATAGTATATTATTTATTCTTCTTTCTGTCAATTCTTCTATTTGTTTAATTATTTCTTTTGTTTTGTCGTTTGATTTGTTATTTGATGTTGATTGTGTTATTCCCATTTTAATTTAATTTGATGTTTATAAGTTCAAAATATGGATGTTTAAATAGTTAATACACGTTATTGGCATAAAGTCAATCATTATTTTTATTACCATTTTATTTTAAACAAACATCATTCATTTTTATTTTACAATAACAATAAATATATAATAATATTAATAATATAATAATAATAAAATTATAATATTGTTATTTTCTATAATTAGTTTATTTTATTTTTAGTATTTTTTCATTTTTTTTTAAAATAAACAAAAAAAATTGAAGAGAAGAAAATTCAATTTTGTTTTATTTTTATCATTTTATCGTTTGTGATTTGAGTTTTCATTTTTTATCAATATTAATTCTAACAATTTAATTTAATAAAGATAAGAAATGATAAAGAAAAATAAGATAATAAAATAAGAATAAGAAATAAAAGAGAAAAGAAATGAGACAACTATTATAAATACACAATGAAAGAAATTAAAATCAAATAAAAATCAAATAAAATGATAAAATTATATTAAACAACATAATAAAAGAAATAATAAATATTTTAAATGTTAAAATATTTAATATGAGAAAATATCAATATTGATAATATTTACATTTGTTTATTGAAGACGAAATAATAATAAATAATTTAATCATATTTCATTCTTTTATTTTGATTATTTAATAATATTATCATCATTCATTCAAATTAATAATGAATAAATAAAAATATAATCATTGTGACTAAATAAAAAATAAATCATTGTTTAATGTAAATTAAAAATTATAATAATAAAGATATTTCAAAAGTAGTGTAAAATTATTTATTCATTTTTATTCAATCATAATATTCCAAATTTATTTTTATTTAATGATGTTTGTATTTCAAACTAATAATCAAAAACAAACTGTCATGTTAAATTATCGACAAATTTATTCATTTATTTTTAAATATTTTCTATTTCTTTTATTTCAAAAATACAGTTTTTAATGTAAAATTAAATAAAAACAATATTAATAGAAAATTATTTTATAATAAAATAATTAAAATAATATTTATGTAACATTCGATAAAATATTTTGTTATTTTTCATTTAAATAAAATATGTTGTGAAGAATATTTAAAAAATGAAGAATTGTAGTTATTTATTTCAAATGAAAATGAAATGTTTTTTTAATAATAAATAACTTCAATTCTTCAAATTGATAAATAAATAATTG